AATTGATTGATGAGTGTTTTGTCATTCCAATCCACATTACAAGCAAGGTTTTGGAATTCAGCAGCTTATGTGGTGGTTGATCATGATTCTTATTATAAAGATAAGAGTTTGGTCTCTGCTACTTATTCTCAATTACTTTCTCCAAATGTCACCATAAACACTTCTAGAAATGAATTCAAATCATAAAAGAGTCGTGAATCTTTTTTTTTTATTAAAGATGCAAACCAAGAGAGAGTACTTCCTTATAGAAGTGCTCTCATGAATCCAACTTGAGTAAATCCATCAGGATAATGAAAAGGGTGCAACCTTAGATAGAACTTGACTTATTGCAAAAATCTTTAAAATTTTGATCTTCTTCCAACAAACTTCTTAAGTATACTAATTCTTATCTCTGTCATACTTGTAGAAGCAAAACTCCTTGGATTTCGTTGTGAGGTCGATCTACTTGCTTCTTTCAATTACACAACTTCTTACCATAGACTTTGAACTTCTTTCATAGGTGTAGGCATAGTACTTTTATAATTCACATTAAAAATATGTAAAATTTCCATTCTAAGAGTGTTAATAAGTTCATGAAGATCTGCAATAGTTGCAAATCTATTCTCACTTCTACTAGGTGTAGCATCCACAATCTTTCCTTTAATAGATAATTCAAACAAATCTAAAAAATTAAATTATAGGAGGATAATCCGCAACCTCTAATAAAAATTTCTGCAAAGAGGGATAATCCACTTTCTTTAAGGAAAGATTGGTATTAAAAAACAATATCTTTTTGTTTAAAAGGTAGATAGTCTACAACCTTCAAAATACAACAATAAAAGTGTGGTAATCTACTCACTTCTAAAATAAGATAAAAATAGTATATTAGTATTCTTATCAAATTGTAAAGGATATAAATTTTAAAGAAAGAGAATCTTCAATATACTCTTGTGTCACTAAAGACAACTAGAAAGTCTCTCAAAAGGTAATGTAATATTAGTTAGAATGGCTATTGCTAAAAATGAGAAGATTAGAAACTCTTGAAATAAGACTAAAGACTATAATGGCATTGACAAGACTAAAGAAGGCTTCATTCTTGCATCCATATGTACTCTTAATTAAGAGCTATAAGGCTATGTCCTGTAGGACTTCCAAAACATGTTGACTTTGTTAGCCATATGTCTTAACTTGCAAGGCAATTTCTCTATGTATGAGCCACATGGTTAGCTTGTTCCACAAGCTATTATGCGGAATTAACTTGTTGGCCAAGTTTCTGACCTACAAACACATCTAAAATCAAAACCACCTCTATGAAGCTTCTAGGAAGCTTTACTAAAAGACTTTATGAAATTAATCTCTATTTACTTACTTCTATGTAATCATATAAGTAATTATTGAAATAAATATATATATGTCCATATTAAATAGATACTCCCAACTCCATCCTTGACAATGAAATTACTTTATGTATAATGTGAGCTTACAACATGGAATCAGCATTGTATGATGCACTCATAGATGCTTATCAGATTGGCTTCATTGCCACTACTTTAGATTGAATCTTGGCAAAAAAAAATAAGGTATCATTTCTCCTAATACGTCATGCAAGATGGTACCTTCTTCTTTAGAAAATCCATTTTTAAGGAAATCCTTATTTTTTAAGTTTTTAAGGCTTTTATACTTCTACAAATATTAGAATTATTTCATACAACATATTCTATGGAATACTTTGTGATATGTCTTACTTTCAAATATTTATAAAAAATTTATCATTAGATTAGCAATGTAGGAAATATTACACAATTCATCAAGAATTACTCAAGTTATCAAGTAAATTAAATACATGATAAAAGTGTCAAATTATGAATTTTGACTTTTATCTTCATTTCAAAGACATTTGCTCTAATAGGCATGGACATCATAGAAATTTTTTCAAAATAGAGAGAATTTACGTCAAGAAAGCATTGGACTTTTAAGTATCACTACTTACTCAATTAAGTCTCAAGATAAGAAAGTACCAAGTTTATATATAAAATTATTTTTATAGTGGCAATTACATCAATATATAAGCCTTAAGTACCAAAGAATATCCAAAATATGATAAAACTTATAATCGGACCATCCAAAAAGACTCAAATTGTACATAAAGTACTCATGTGCTTTAAAAAAAATACCAAAACAAATTTCAACCTCAAATTCATTACAAATATATATATATATATATATATATATATATAATTTTCTTCATATTTTATAAATTAATTATTTAAATATCAAAAAAATTGATATATATCTTTTCAACCTAATAACTCACACTTTTAGAAATTTTGAGCTAAAAATTCATCCAAATACTCAAGATATGGCTCCAACCATTGCTATCAATAAAATGGCTTACTTACTACCATTGAATTACTTGTGTTTTCTTCACTTTCTATAACTCCTTCATATAAACTTTAAATGTAATAATTCTTTCATAAAAGACGTAGGTCTTAAAATTGCCCTTACAACCACACTTCTTCATTTCCAAAAGCTATTGTACAACTTCTAATATTCTAAAAGAGCAACATTATATCTTAAAAGACCCCTTGACTTCAAATTGCTATAACTTCTTCATCCTAATTCCAAAGCTTTTAAATTTTGTGCAAAAATTGTAGCGCAAACTCTAAACGATACAATTCTTACTTCTAATTATCAAATGCTTCTTCTAAAGTTGCTAAAATCCTTGTTATGGTTGCAGATAGCCTGCTAAAATCCTATTAGTCATGATCTTTGACTAACAGAGATAAAGACCTTCACTTCTTACCTTCATCCATTCATATCTTATTTTTATTCCTCCAAATAAGCTTCTTAGTAGTTTGGATCTTCATCTTTGAGCTCTAATCTTCTCTTAAAATTTTATATTAAATATCTAAATCTTATATAATTTAAAACACTATAATCAAAATAGATAAACATGAAAATAAATTTTCTTATATCAATTCTCTTTAAATTAACTTACTAATTATTCTAATATACATTGAGACTTATAAATATATTATATGTTCTAATTAATTTTTTCATACTATAAACAATTATAGTACAACATCATTGAAAACTACCATGGAAGGTCACTGATTTATAGTGGTGGCGACATGTTACCTCACAAAATAGATAGAGGTTTGGACATTGGAATCAAAGAAATGCAAGAAGGTGGCTTAATTCTTCTTTGATTCTATCATGATGCAGCAAAGTAGTCCCATTAAAATATTAACTGACAATAAGAGTAAATTATGTAATATATTAATAGACGTCCTAACTATTCATTTATGCAGCAAATACACAACTACATCTTCCAATCATCTCCAATACAATAGATTGACAAAAATATTTAATTACATGCTCTACTTGTTGATCAAGAAGAAGAGTGACTATAATTAACATTGGCATACAATATTGTCTACCATTGTGTTTACCTACCACACAAGTATTCACTCAAGCACGAAATCTCACCCTTTGAAATGTTATATGGATAAAAACCTTGTTTATTTATTGTACCAATAGACTCAATGGTCTACTTCAATATCACAATCAATTGTGCACCCATGACAATATCAGCAGAGCTCAACATTTGCAAAAATAAAGACACGACAAGAATGTAACATATACGAGAACATTCAATGTTGGTGATGTGGTATTGTATCGCAACAAAAAAAGGTATGAGAACTGGGGCAAATTTTGGACCAAGTTGAGAAGGTCTTATCGTGTGATAGCATCTAATGAGGAGAAGCAACAGTTTTACCTGCAACCGATCTGCTCTGAAACCTTACCAATGTTGTTCCATGTTCCAAGTTTTGACTTAGTGCATTGTAATCAAAACTACGACCTTACCAACATCAATCTGGTTGGGTGCAATATTCAATGTACACCAAAGCAGTCCATGGCTGGAACAAACTCATGACTTAATTTTTTCCGAAAGGAGGAGTCCCTCTACATATGTAGAAATAAGAAATGGGCTTGGCACAAATCTTATGCCGCCCAATAAGATTACAGAGAAACCGCAATTGTAGGACTAAGTGGGGTTTTCAAGCTAGCCCTCTTCAATACAAAATGTCTGCTCGAACTGTCTCGGCAGGTATTGGGGTGCACTTGTCTAAGGTATTGTTTGTGTGTTGCGATTGTTTTTCATCCACATATGGAGTAGTTCCTTCGCTGAGGCTGCTTGCTCCCAAGATGTTGCCTGCCCCTGGTGGGATCCCAATCTTCGAGTCCATCTCGTCCAGTCGCCTCCTATTGGTCGAGACCAGAAACACAACGGGCCATTTCTTCCCTCTACAGACCTAAACCGAAGTCCCCTTCAATACTATATATATATATGTATAGTAAGTCAAAATCCAAATGACTGGTTTACTCACTAGAATAAATGTGCACTTCATGGAGTTGATAAGGTGACAGAACGAGGGTTGTAACTTATATATCTTCAGCATGCAGACTGCTTCAGCTCCCCATGGGGTGAATTAGTCCGTGTAAAAAGCAGCGCAACAATTTGGTATCTGGTTAACCATCGCGGTGTCACTCGGTGACTGTCTTATATCTTCGAGTTGTCTGCGAAGAATATAAACGGGGGGAAAGGACAAGAACGCACCCTGCTTTTCTGCCATACGAAGTGAGCAAAAATGTTCAGCATCGGCATTGTTTTCGTTTGAAACGGTTGTCATTGATACGTCTAAGCTTGGGAGGGACCCTCTATGTTTTTCAATCAGTGGGGACATCTCCGCGTTGACAGCCGAAGCGTGTCCCCTCCTCCGACACAGATACTTTAATAATTGGGTTGGTAAAGGGGAGGGTATAACGACTCTTAGAAACAGTAGCAAACGTCAATGAGATCGTGATCAATAATTGAGTGACACCGATATCGTTTTAGGTGAGAATACTGTAGCTGAATCGAGAAAGGGAAAATAATGTGAAATTTTTAGTATCAATAGTGAAGCCATGATTTAGATGGGAGAGCAACAGTGGGTAACATTGTTGAATAGAAGCGCATGCAGTGGTGCATGAAGAAGATTGAAAGTGAAGAGGATCAGAAAAATTCACAAGTTTCTATAAAGCGAATTGTTCTCTGGTGCGTGCATCCTGGTTCTTTTGCTTGAGTGATACAGAGAAAGAGATGAATGAAGGGATCTTGATTGAGGCGTGTGCATCTACGAGTGTGATCATCTGTTCCATACCGACGCAAACGTTCTCCAAAATTGTTTTGTAGGAATGTGGGTACAGAGGCACCAATATTTATGCATCCACAATGTTCTAGCTTAGATGTAACACTGTCCACGTATCTTAGAAGGAATGTAATGATCTGCAAGTGAGGTAAATGAAACAGTAGATATAGCCTCTACCTCCAACTTCACTCTCCGAGTCCGAAATTCCGCAAGCTTTGACCTGAGACACAAAATGAACTAACCGCTTTCAAGCCCTTTGACAGTATGTATACAATTTCCACTTAGATGAGGTAGAAGTCAATCATCCAATTACGCCAGTAAAGCTACAAAACATGTGTAAAAACAATTTTCAGATTCTGAACCAAGTCTGCGGTGGCATGATATTTTGACGGCCGTCGTTGATAGTCAATGTCGAACAAAGGGGCACCTAGTTGTGTTAGCACTTAAAAAAAAATTATTCTGAAGCCATAGCAGCATTGGTGTAGAAGAGATTCACGAAATTACCACCAAGCAGGAGCAAGTTGCTGGATGTAGCTTTTATTAAGGATTGCGTCAGCTTTTTTCTCATCTGAAATTTCCGATCATCAAAAACTTACGATCCATGTAACAAGCTTCGCACATACTAAGACCCACCTGATAGGTCCTGTGTAAGCTCACCAGTGTAATATAAAAAAATCCAATACGCATTGAATATAATTACCACATGATTTTAAAACCAGTTTGCACCCAGATGATTGAACTTGTACAAACTATTAATTGTGGGATTTATGTATTTACGAAAGATCTATCAGTTTCTTGAAGGTAATTGCTCACCTCGCTTTGACATCGGAAGAAGGCAGTTTTCAGTAAGGCCGAAATGGCCAAGATCTGAGAGAAATATTCCCAACCACAGAATGCTTGGCACTGCTAGGACTTTGGCATCATATGCCATGGTCTGCAAAGAGCAACATGACAGCATTTAGTGCTTCAATCAGCACTTGGATACCTTAGTTACCTGACGATCTTATTCTGATTTTGGATGAGTGATTGAGAGAATAACACTGCCCCATGTTTTAGCTATGTTTATTCAGGCTCTCTGTAATGATGATGGTAAGGATATGCTATTTCTTACCAGGGAACCAAATCGATAGATCGAAAGGATATCCAAACCGTAGGGGTCTCCATCCATGAGACCATACACAGGCAAATGGAGTTGGTCGACTAGTCGTCGCAGAAAACTGCTCGAGTGCACATGATTAGAATACTCGAAATCCAAACAAGACCTTGCTTGTCTTCCCCACTCACGGAGGTCCGTGGGCAAGAAAAAATAGAATGCAAAGAGCAAGCATGAACAGAATAGATCATAGAAGAGAATGCAATTTACCTTCTTGTGGCCACATCTGGATAGCCTTTCCCCTGCAAACACGCGCTCGGTCAATGAGGATTATTTATCAGATTATTGGTATGCTCAGCTTCCGATTGTCATTCAATACTTACTGTTAAAAGGATGCAGCAATTCTTGGCACAGAATTTGTCGTTTGCTAGTCGTTGGAAAACTGCAATGCGAGTAACGTTAGTGCATTACACTAGAATTACATAATCAGATTACAACTTGATGCATTTTGATGAAGACTAGTTATCATGCTGAACCCTACAAAAAGTATTTGCTAATCACTTATAATTAATATGAAACTTGTGTCTTTGTTTGTTTTCCAAGCACTTTGGAATTCAAGCTGCAACAACACACAAAACCACTGACCTGTTTCTTTCTCCACTAAAAGGATGTACTCCGCACTACTGCTTAAGTCTAGTAAGCTTGCAGTGAAGGTTTCCGAGAAGCTTTGGTTGATATGTATTACGATATTGCACGTGATGAACACTCTGAATTTTAGTAACAAAAATTAAATCATGAAACTCAAGAAATTTCTTATTCAATTGCAAGGATACGACTCACTTTATTTATGTGCACAGGAACTGGAAGGCCCTGTCAACACAGGTCGGTTTTTAAAGGATTAGGTTTCAATAGCCCGATGAATACAAAGTGAAGAACTGTAAATTTGAAGTTATCTATTCTCCTTCAATATGTTAATTACTTGCGTCCAATTTATAGTTGCGACCCGCGGAATATCTTGAGACCTGCTTACAGTAAAGGTCTTGTAAAGGTACAACGCAAGGCACTGAAACATTGATAGTGATTCATAATTAGTCCTTATCAGGAAATCATGTATTGTAAGTTTGCTTGGGTAGGTGGAGATTAAGCGCGCTTACGTTACTGGTGCTGCTTCGTTTTGAGCAGTTGATTAGTCTACCTTCCTCATAGTAGCTCAACTGGCCCGTCACCAAGCTGCTGCCACGCATAGCATAAGCTATTTGTACTCATAATTCACATGAAATTGAACTCGATAACAAACAAATCTGAGCCTTCGGCCAGTCTTGAACAACAAACCACGAATTGACATCATTTGGTCCAATTGTGAAATTTATGAATCGACAGAGATTCCCAGGACAGAGTAAATAATTTTCATTTCCGCTGACATATGCACAAGCAGCTGAAATTTATTTTGTAATCGCAAGTATAGTCAGCAGATGTTAATTTCCAAGGGATGGACAAGGGTACTCAGGTTGACTGATAACGCACCCTTTGCTGGAAGAAACCTGCTTGAACAATCATTGAGCAGCATTAGTGACCCTCAAGATGTTAAAGCAGGTAAAGAGTGTTATCAATTCGCAAGTAAAATGCAATGATTTGTAAAACTGTTATACTAGAGACAAACTTTCGGGGTTACAAGCGGCAGATTACAAGGCACAGACGATAAAAAAAATTGATAATGGAACTTAGAAATGATGCCAGTCACTTGCCAGGTTCAGTGATGGACGGCTGCAGTGAAAGAAACAGCAAATATCATTGATGGATTGATCCAGTCGACCTAGTAAGTAAATTTGAACAAGACTTTGGTGTCAGCCAATCCAAGCATTGTGAAAACCAACATATTCTTCACTTCTTATAAGATCTTATTTGTTTTATACTGTACTAGATCAAAGATATACTGTGACGTATACATTAACGATTCATATGTGTCGAAGAGCGAATAGGCATCAGGGCAGAGTACAAGTAAAAACTATAAATCACCATCTGACCTTTCAGAAGAGCAGTATCGTTATAGTATACATCTCTCTTCGTGGCGTGCCTATTCTGTTGCAGTAAGACTTCAACGATTTGCAACACTTTCAACATTGCAACTGCATGACAATAAACCATTCGCATCCCAGTCAATTTATACTTTATCACTTATACATGCATTACTACATTTTGAGCTCACTGTCGCATTTCAAGAATGTTATAAAAAAATCTAGAAGCAACAGACATGCAAAAACGGATTCTAATGTAATGACACTCGCACTTCTTCAAAATCCTTAGACATACCAAGTCTCTGAGAACCTCCTTCCGAGCTGCATGAAATCTCCTCAAATGTATTCGTTTCCTCAAATATTGTCAAGCTTTACAACAGAATTTAGAGTTACCATGAGCTGTTGGAAGTTTTAAAAGACATTCCTCTCTACTTGAACAAAAATTCAAAGGTTAGTGACAATAGGCGACATTTAAAACGTCGCAATTAAATTTCAGGTAATTACAAGACGATGAGAAATAAAATTTCATCATCTCACCATTTCTTATTTGTCTCAAGTGGATATTCTCGAGGCTTGAACACCGGTATGCTTACTGATGCTTGACCACCACGCTCGATATCGCTCAGAACTGTGTGTAAAAACACTGTTGGGAAAAACAAAAACATAAATAAAATAAAATAAAATAAATAACATACGCACACCGAACAACACTGCGTTATCACACTATCCGGATGAAGGTATAATAGATACCGTTGCTGAGACTCTGAAGTGGTCCAATTGTTGAGTTTAAGTAGTAATGGCTGGTGTACTACATACCAGAATTCATTTCTTGAACTAAGAATTTAGGCTTTAAAATGTCTATTTAACTTCGGCCTAGGCAACCGCCTACAATTTGGCAAATCTTTGAATTTTCGAACGACTACGTGCAGACGCTAGAACATAGAAATGTCGTCGAGAAAGATAATTAGAAAAAATATATGAAAATAAGGATTCAGACTCTTTTTAGAGTTGTAGGATTTTTCTTTATTGTAGCGGCAATAATCATGAAACATAGCATCTTCTTCATAAAATAGTATCAGGCTTTTCTTAGTCAGGCGAAAAGGATGGAAGCATTTAGGGGAATATTCCAAAACTTACTTTGAATTTGAGGCAGTAGATACGTGGAATCCGAAGTTCCTCCCTCCATCAAGCTTGTATGTTTCGAGGTCAAGCTTCTGGTGGCAATGAAAGCAGATCGAGACAGCAAACAGCAGCTGGACTTCCACTCACAAGGACTGCCGGATGTGTTCAAAGCCCCGTGTGACGAAGGCTTGTAATTTAGGGGAGAAGATCAAAGGGAATAAGGAGATATGAAGATAGAGATGCATCAATTAATACCTAGGGAGTCCTTATATGCAGAAGTCCACTTCAAGAAGTTATGGTTCAAGAACCTTATTTATGTCCCTCACTCATCGAAGAAGAGCCTTCTTTTGGAAATTTTGATTATGGGATATAATACGAAGTGAGAGGAGATCATGAAATGGATCAAGTTATTCTTTTGATATACATCTAATTTTGTCACTTTATACCTTATTTCTAATAATTATGAGAAGTATACGAATTTTGGTTTTTGGTTTATGGTTTTTTTTTTTTTTTTTTTTTTTTTTTTTTTAAGTAGTTTTTGACACAACTCTTTAAAGTCTTCTAAAAAAAACTACTTCTTAAGATGAGTCCAACAAAAATTCCAAGAGACAACATTATTTGTGCCATGTAGGAAAAAAAGTACATTCTAAAACATTTTTTTCTCTCAAGGACTTTGAACTAAATTTCCCAAGTATAAAGCCAATGTAGTAAAGCTTCTTAATTTCAACCAATCAAAGGATTTGAAAGTTGTAGCCTCTTCCCTTATCTCTTAAGCATAAAGTCCCCATTTCTTCAATGGGGACTTGTTTTCTTGCCAATAGAAGTAGTTGATAAAACACAACTAATTTTTATTGAGAAAAAACAATAGAATATCTTTTTGAAATATTAAAATTAAGAATTTATAATTTGTAATATTTTTAAGTGGTTATGTTTTAAGAAAAAATTAAGGTGAATAATAATGAATCATATTATGCTATATATATATATATATATATACATGTATGTGTATATAACAAAAATATATATATTTAAAAATAATTTATGTACTAGATATGATTTTACGATCTTTTTTAGTTTTATGTTTGGTTAATTGCAAATTGTTAAAAAATTATTCATTGTAACGTGTGCTATTTAAAAGATCTAGTTGGCCAAGTCTAGCTTAGGGACTACTGTTGAATCCTTACCCTAATCCCTCATGACCAACAAAACAATCTTGAGCCAATACTAAATCACATCAACACTACCATTTAAGCTAACCAAATCAGAAATTTTCCACAAACCATACGAAGTTACAACAGACGTCCAACAGAACCATGACACAAAAAGCAACACAAGGTTCCGAGCATGAGAGACATTAGAAACACGTGGCACATGCTTGCCAAGCTGGCATTTCTTGTCTCGAAGGACGCATATGAAAGTAGACGTAGAAGGTAGTAGTACACGTGGCTGGCGGGAATCCGAGCTGGAGGGGAGGGGTGGGCGCCATGCCCCAGGAAGGAAGGTAGGAAGGAAGGGCGTGTGATTGAACATGCGAGGGAGGGCTAAGAGTGGCAAGAAGAAGCCCACCAAAGTTAGTGGAGCTGGGGAGATCAAGTACCATGCTCGTGCGCTGTTCTTAAGCTCTCAGTCTTTCAAGCCTTGATCCCCCCTCCCCTCCCCTTCCCTTAGTCTAGCCTCAAGTGACCTAAAAGAGACACAGATCGAGACGGAGAGCGAGCTCTAGACTGCGCGAGCGAGAGACAGGAATATCTTGATCATCGCTCACGCAGATCGAGGGGGTTCGTCTTGTCTCGTCTCGTCTCGTTGCCATCGCCGTAGCGCAGGGAGGGTGTCAGGGGGCGGGGCGTGGAGGAGCTGTGATCAAGATGAGCGGGCCCGATGTGCTGTTTCCGCTGCGGAACAACTTCTACCTGGGCGCATTCCAGGCTGCCATCAACGAAGGCACCGTGCGCAACTTGAGTGATGCTGATGCTGTGGAGAAAGACAGCTTCGTCTACCGCTCGTACATTGCGCTCGGCCAGCACCAGGTCATCTCCTCCCCGTCTATCGCGCTGCGGTTTAGGGTTTCGGTGATGTGATGTGATTCTTGCTCGTGTTGTTAGCATTGCGGGGAGTATTTTTATGGTCTAGGAAGTGGGAGAAGCCAGTGTAATAGTTAGCTTTTTGTCAGAATCACTTGCGAAGTGGTCTTCGTCTGAGTGTGATTCGAGGGCCTAGTGGTATCGGCGGATATATTCTCGTTTTCTTCCTCGGTATAGGAGTTGGCTGAGTTAATGAGGGATTGAGACTAATGCTTTAAATTGTGGATTGTGGCGCATGTCTCTAGGACATTTCCTCCATGCTCTTCTTCGATTCTTTTACACTTAACTTCAAAAATTCTTTCTCCTCTTTCTCCGTAGCGTCAGCGATCTAGATTTGTATTGAAAAGTTTAGTCTTTATCGTCGAGAAATTCTACTTCTCGGCTGTCGTTGAAAATGGATAAATAGATTGATTGGTACTCATCTGTAGTGCCGCTGCTGCACTAAGCACATTCCTGCAATTTTATTTCAAAGTAAACCGCTGTTGAGATCTCCACAAGAAATCTGCTGATGTTCACCAGCTCTGCAAGATTCAAAGGCACCGTAATACCAATTTTATGTTCAAAGACACATGGTGGTCCGTATACATTTAGGACTTCATTCTCCGCTCGTGATGTCTCGGGAGTTCTGTTTTTTGCGTCTCGATTATCCCTTTCTCTGCAGAGTGAGTGTCCCGCTATTGAACTTTAGATGAGATTATTTAAAGCATTTACGTGCATTATATACTGACACAAGCGACGCTTTCGGTGGTTAAATCAGTTGGTGATTGATGAAATCAACGATGCTGCTCCAACTGCGCTTCAAGCCGTAAAACTTCTTGCACTGTACCTGTCGGGGGGAGCTCAGAAGGTGATCTTGGTGGATCGAACGGATTCTACACAGACTAACACATTTCTTGTGACACGTTTACAGTTTACATCAGTTGCCCTTGACGAGCATGTGTTGTTTATTGTTAGTGTTGGTTATCTGTGGCAATCAGAATCTTAGTCCGAGTATGATGTACATTCAGCCGTCTGCCGCTCACGAATTTTCATTTCCAGGACAAGGCTTTGTCTGGCTTGTCGGAGTGGTTATCCGATGCGGCTGTTGCGAGCAACCCTACATTGTTGCTCATTGCGGGCATGATTCACACTCACGAGCAAAACTATAACGAAGCTCTTAAGTATACACACGTTGGTGGCACTCTTGATTTGTAAGTGACCAAGCCAACTAGTACCTAGATGTGGGGTCATTGCGCTGTTATTCGATACAATCTCAGGGCTGCTGTTGATTTTCGCCACAATCGTGCACAATTATCGTGCGGCAGGATTGAACTATTCTAGATCTGATTCATTCCCTTCAATCGTAAATGTTTCGTGTATGTCATTGTCGACAACCTGGACAATTCTCCACAGTCGGTATCGTCCCCTCAGCTATCTAATACCCTAATTTTCCTGTAGAGCGGTTCTCTCGTCCTAAGAGGGAAGCTAAGGCTGAAGGGCTCGGTTGTTCTCTTCACTTGACTAATTTATGCCAAACCTAGATCAGATTCGATTTCAAAGTAGACTTTGATTCCTCTTTAATTATTAGCCAGAGATTTTGTAACTAGTTCATCCCAATTCAGGTGTCGTTTTGTCTTGGCAGGTGTGCTCTGAACATTCAGATCTATTTGAAGATGCACCGCACAGACTATGCAGAGAAACAGCTGAAAATTATGCAACAAATTGATGAAGATCATACCCTTACACAGCTAGCGAATGCATGGGTCAACCTCTCATTGGTAAATTTCCTCAGTTTTTTGTTTATTTTTGCTGCATTTTTCATCGTAACAGGATTTTTCTTGGACCTTCTTTGTGTCTCTGAAGAATATTCTTGCACAGCAGTGTTTTACATCATAATGAATATTTCACTCGTATGCTAAGCACAGCGTTGGTGCTTAACGAAGTTATGACCTGCGCCTTTTTTTGCGTAGGGTGGTGCCAAGGTTCAAGAAGCATACTATATCTTTCAGGAGCTGGGTGAAAAGTTTACGTGGACAGTCATGCTGATGAATGGAAGTGCGGTTTGTCAAATGCACATGGGGCAATTTGAGGAGGCCGAGACTCGCCTTCTGGAGGCCCTGAACAAAGTACGAATGCTTTATGTTTTATTCATCGTTCAACAAAAGTTACTTCTTTTGATGAGGGTTTCTTTTTGGCATTCTTTATTGCCATTCTTTTATCTGCATTGTATTATGACATTGTTTTCGACTTCAAAAAAAAAATATATATATATATATATATATATATATTACGTAAGTTGGAACACATGCCTTTCATTCCCCTAGATCTACAACTTGCCACGATATTATTGAACGGAGTTTCCGACACTATCCATCTTAGTTATCGACGAGTCCACATTTGCAGCGGTAAAAGAAATATACTAACCGAATACTCTGGATTCTTTGGGCCATTGCCTGCAGGATTCGAAGGATGCTAATACACTTGCCAATCTGATAGTCTGCAGTCTACACTTGAGCAAGCCAACTGCACGTTACTTGAGGTGTGCAAACAGCTCTAGAACTCTTTTCACCATCATACGTCGATTTCTTTCTATGTTTTTCGTGTGCATTGGGATTCTGTATATCGGATTTTTACAACAATCCTTGCTTGGAAGATTTTTTCAAGCAGAATATGAGAAATGTTCAGGATTTGCTCTCATCATCTTCTGCTTGTGTGACCAGTCAGTTGAAGATTTCCCATCCAAACCATGTGCTTGTGGAGCGTGCTAGTGCTGGTGAAGCTGCTTTCGAGAGAGCTGTGCAAAGTGTTGCATAAGATGTATTAAACTACTCTCACAACTTCGTTTCTATCCTGCTATGCTTTGTGATAACAAATGACATACTTCATACAAATGGTAGTCCGTGAGCCTTATGTTCTGTTTATGCTCTTCGTAATTTCAGTGCTCTATTGATGAGCACATGAATCTGTAGTGCTGTGGCTTCAAAAGCTATTACCCTAAATGAAGGATCTATTCCTTTCCTAACAACCGTTAGTTCTCCGTCTTACCGCAGGACGCACAAGTGATTGTACAGCCAACTTGCTACTCCGTTTTTTTCTGCTGTAAGCATCATCAAGCCCCAGGAGATATGAGTTGCACTCCAGTCTGTGGCTGTTATGCAGCTAGTCGTTATTATTCTGATATTAAATTTTACCTGTTTCAATTTTGTGCCTATGCATCATTGATCAGTAGTTCTTTTCAGTTTTTGAGGCTAGCACTAGCAAGTTCATGCATAAGTTTTAAAGTTTCTAGGTCTATATAGATCAGCTAACATTTTTACAGCTCTAGTTTGAATCTGTCTCATTTTAGTTACTTAAATATACTGGAAGCACGCATTTTTGTGTTATTCAGATCCGTCTGAGATCAGCAGCTTACTTTTGTGTGTTATCATATTAAAAAGATTTTGATCTACATGTTGTGAAACTGAAATTAGAGTCTGCGTGATGGAATATAGCTGAACGAAACCAAATGTTTCAGGATTGGGATGCTTCTTTATCGAACTTTTAGATTAGATTCCAAAGAAGTACTGAACTTCTCTAACTAAGTTCCACTACATATTCCACAAATATTCATTATCACAATGATTGGATAAAGGAGGCGAACTCGAAAAGAGATATTTGTGAACTCGGCTATTCCAAATCCGCTGGCAGACTTCATTTTTCTTATCATGAGCATTCCATGTGTGTTGCTTGCGCAGCAATTAAGAAGGTTACAGCATTTTGAACTGTATCAATTTCCCTGGTACCTTGATTACTTCTTGATCGAAGTGAACGTCACAAGCTACACATGGTCGCTTGAAAGTATTGTTCCTGGAGTCTTCCTCTTCTCAAGCTCACTTCTGATGCGATCGAGATTTGTTGAAAACATGGAAATAAGCTCTGCTTATAGATTTCATCAGGTGAAGGGATTGCTGGCAACGAAAGAACTACCTTAGCAATCTCCTACAGAATAGACGGTCCAGAGGCATCAACCAAAATGCACATTCAAACTAGAGCTCCGAGAGGAATCAGAATCACCTTGACAATTACCTTCTTCTCCCTCTGCATTCCGTTACTCAGCAATGAAGGCTGTCGTCTAGACCAATTCTTATTCACAAGATGACTTGTTGTCGCAATCCATGTGACAAGAGTTGAGCAATCGTTGTATTCATGAGTAGATGAAGATTATAATTCAGAATAAGAAATGCATGCATCTCAGACGATTCACAACATTATTATGGACAAGCGTAAATGCCACACTGTCGTGAATTGCAGCAATTCATGCGAGTGGATTGAAGGTTTTCAAGATTATATATCAGGTGGGTCATTTCATCAGCATCCCGCACTACATGTTTGAAGTGAATGCTTTTCCTTATCTATGTGTCTAGTGAATTCGAGGCTGATTCTTCCTTCTCTGAGATTTTCAATTCTGCTGCATCGGCCTGTGCACCACACAATCCCTAACCCTAAAACTGTAGCGCGGACGCCCGTGATACATCATCACGTGACACCTCCAAAATTCATAGCGTCCTGAATTTTTGCGGCACCTCCAAAATCCATCTCTCCCCACACAAGGAAAGCTGTGAATAATGCACTTCAAATTCAAGAAAAAAAAAAAAAATCAGGACGCTATGAAATAGTCCTTAATTATAGTGCAGTAAATATGATATTTAATTCAACTACTTTTAGAACAACAGATGTAAAAATACGGGTTTAACTGTAATTTGAAGCTATGATAAAAGGTGCAGTAAGATTTTGGTTATGCTATATGAAATAGATGTATAAAATTTATTTTTATTGTCAATAGTGTTTCTTAGATATTTTCCGTAAACATGTTGTTGCTTGCTTATGATAAAATCTTGTTGATTGCATATGACAACAGTTTGAGATGTTGGAGAGGACCCATTGGTTTGAGGTTTGCATAATTTTGTAGCTCTTGCCAAGTTATGATGTACATTCATAGTTTTAATGTTCAAATAACTAACATATCAATGCAAAAAATTCAATAGACCTTGTTTGATACGGAATTATACAAAAAATAAAGTAAAAAGTAAAAAACAATACATGGCATTGTATATGTTATTTGATATAAACTTTTTATCAGATGTTAATGGCATTGCAATTACTTTTTTCCAATCATCATTCTAAAATTACAATGACTTCCTAAAAACTATATAGGTAAGGTGTAATTAGCAAAACAAATTAACACTATTTCATTTTAGAAATAATTATATTAATTGAAGTTTTTGTAACACTAAAGATTTTCAAAATATGTGAAGGGAAACTCTAAATCTTTTTACAATTTTCTCTTAATGCTTGCAACTTTCAAACTTTAGGCCTATTTTATTCACATTATTATGTTTTTTTTATTTATTTATTTAGTGAATTTTCATAATTTAAACGGAACTCTTCAATGCCAAGGGGTCATGGTTGAGACGGTCTTAGGGAATGGTCTTTTTCCGTTATTTCCGAGGTAGATTCAGCATCCAAGTCCGCGGAATCAAAGAACTTTAAGATCGTGGAATCAAAGTTACATAAGACCGTGGAATCAAGGATACATAAGACCGTGGAATCAAGGATACACAAGACCGTGGAATCAAGGATACATAAGACCGTGGAATCAAAGATGCATAAAACCGTGGAATCAAGGATACATAAGACCGTGGAATCAAAGATGCATAAGACCATGGAATCAAGGATACATAAGACCGTGGAATCAAGGATACATAAGACCGTGGAATCAAGGATACATAAGACCGTGGAATCAAGGATACATAAGACCGTGGAATCAAAGATGCAAAGACCGTGGAATCAAAGATGCATAAGACCGTGGAATCAAGGATGCATAAGACCGTGGAATCAAAGATGCATAAGACCGTGGAATCAATGTGCTCTAAACCCGAAGAACCAAAGGGATCTAACCTCGCGGAATTATGGAGCCCTAACATCGCGGGATCATCTGCCCTAATTTCCAAGCTCTGGTGCTCGTTGGTGCTGCTGTTGTTGCTGCTCATCCAGCTTAGAAGCTGGGCGTTGCGGGGGTGGGGGGACTTCATTGGCTAGTCGGGGGGAGTAGCTTAGGAATTTGTACCTTCAGAGGGTGTAGATAGCCTTTGCGGATTCGAAGTGGAAGTGGTTTATAGATTAAGGGGGTCGTCATGCCTCCCAAGGCAGCTCCCAAGGGGGGCGGCAAGGAGAAGTCGAAAGCTGACCTTGCGAAGAAGCAGAAGCTCGTGGAGGACAAGACCTTCGGATTGAAGAATAAAAACAAGAGCAAGAACGTGCAGAAGTACGTGCAGAGCTTACACCAGTCTGTCCAGAATGCCGGACCCAAGCGTGGAGTTGATGATCCCAAGGCCGCGGCCAAGGTTTGGATTCACTCGATTGGAGTTGAATTGTGGTTGTGGGATGCGCTGCGTAGCTTGTTATGATTCATTAGGTTGCTAGAAATGGGAGGCAATGAAGTCATGCTCCTGCTGTTCGCTGTTTGGGCTGCTGATGGTCATTTGACCTAATTTTGTTTGTTTCGCTGTTTTCTGTTGATTTGGTGGATGGTATTTCAATTCGACTTGCTGTGGCTTCAACGCAGCTAGTCATGAAATCACGGTTTCAGTCTATTTCAAGGATTCGGGATTCTTGGCACTTTTTGTAGTCACTCGGTGTTGTATGCATGCAGAAGAAGAAGGAAGAAGAAGCTGCGAGGGATAAGGAGTTAAATGAATTGTTCAAAGTGGCTATTAGTCAGCCTAAGGTTCCTGTTGGTATGCGCACTTTTGCAGTACACCCCGTTTTATTTGCTCCAGCCGCTTCAGCTTGCACTTCCGGCTATATCTGATTGAACTTGATCCGTAGACTCTGCGCAAGCTTCGAATATTCCGAAGGCTGACTAGAGGGATGGTTGTAACACGTGACAGGTGTTGATCCCAAATCAATCGTTTGTGAGTTTTTTCGCCACGGGCAATGTGCCAAGGGATTCAAGTGCAAGTTCTCGCACGATCTCAGTGTTGAAAGGAAAGGAGAGAAGATTGATATTTACAGCGATCAGCGTGATTCAGGTGAGCTTCTCGAATCCACTTGATATGGTTGATGTGATGTATAATTGCTGCAATACCGTATTGAATGTGGCCGTCGCTTGTTTGCTCACTAGTTTCTTGCAATCATGCAGAGACCATGGATGAATGGGATCAGGAGACTCTTGAGAAAGTGGTAGCAGCGAAAGGAAATGAGTTCGTTCACAATAAACCTACGGAAATTGTAAGTACTTCTAGCATCTTGAGTCTAGCCGAGTTCCATGATGCAAGGGTGTAGGTGAAATTGTTATCAGAAGACATGTAGATAACTGTGCATATGTGCCAATAGATATGATTGCACCATCTTTTTTGCGGGTGTTGCGGTTGACCTATATTAGGGGTAGCGCTTATATTCTTGTGCAGAGAGAGCTAAACAAATTTTGTGAGTTTCATCCAATTTCGAGAGTCTTTTATTGCAGAACTGTGTCCAGTTGGCATTCATTTTCGTAGTGTACAGGTGGCTTCATAACATTTATCATGAACTCTGTGCAGGTGTGCAAACATTTCTTGGATGCTGTAGAAAAGAAACAATACGGATGGTTTTGGACGTGCCCTAACGGTGGGAAGGATTGTCATTACCGACATGCTTTGCCCCCCGGTTATGTCCTTAAGTCACAAATGAAGGCATTGCTTGAAGAAGAGGGTGAAAAATTGTCGATTGAAGAAGAGATTGAGAATCAGGTATTGTACAGAGCTTTAAGAATGGCGAGCTCATTGCACGGTGTCGGTATATTAGCTCACTATTTGTTTCTGTTCAAGGAGTCTTGGTGTAACCATTAAATTCCAAATGGGGGTATCCAACAGATTACTTAAATGACAATTTGTCTCCGTTGATGCAGAGGCGTATGACCAAAACCAGCACCCCTATGACGGGAGAGGCATTTGCAGAATGGAAAAGAAAGAAATCCGAAGCACGTGAAGTTGAATTAGCTTCCAAGAGAGCAGAGAGGGCCAGAACCGATAGAATGAGGCATGTCCTTTCATCAATGGAACACAATTTCCTTGAGCTGTTTCCTCACATTTGTGAGGATTGTCATTTGGCTAGTTTATTTTTTGTTATTGAAGAAAGGTCGGAAGGTTTTAAAAGCGTAGCCCTCTGATTAGATTTGGCTAACCTAATGGATGATGTGTGTTTAACAGTGGACGAGAGCTCTTCCTTGCTGATGCCAGCTTGTTTGTGGATGACGCGGAAGCGTTTGACTCTTACACTCGGGAAGAAGAGCCCGATGCTGCGGAGGGTTCAGGATCCTCTCAGCAGGTAATGTATACATTTCCATTCTTGTGATTGATCCCTAGCGGTTAGATTTAAATTTTGTTTTTAGATTTTTTTTGCAGCGATCATCCTCGAGAGCTGTTGAAAAGTGCAGTGGACTGAGGTGTTCTGGAGACATCGTCTTGGGATATGATGTGGAATTATTGCAGCATATCATCATCAGAGCTGACCCTAACAATAAGTTGCAATATGACAGGTTCAACAGAAATCAGTTTTGGACAGAGCAGGTATCAGTGAGCAGGACGAGAGTTTATTTATAGACGACGACGATGAATTGGACCTGGATGAGTTGGATGAGTTGGAGTCCAGGATTCATAAGACATCCTTGGATGACACGTAAGGATGGAGCTTCGACAAATGGAAGCAGAGCAAGACATGGTTCAGTCGTTGAAGTGATCTTTTCTCCACAGTTGATTACAGTCTGATGCAGTGGAATTGAACATGCAGAGAATTCGCAGTTCAGTAGTTCTTGTTAATTGGAGTTTGTAGCTTTTGTTGCTTAAGGATGGGTGTTTCAGAGAATTTCCGAGTTGGATAGTTTAGATTTAGAATGAGATTTAGAGCTTTTTCGGGAATCAGTACTTAATGTGGAAGATGTCTATGCGTTTGTCGCCTGGTCATGATGGAGCTTATTCTGTATTACATAATGGTGTACACTGAAGAGAATCGTGAAATGTGGCTATAGAATATAGCCTATGGCTCTTGGTAATTCAGAGAGGTTTCATTGCTAATGTGGACAGTTGCTCTTGCAATACCAATGGGATGATCGTCACAGTTCCATACTCGCCGTTCCTTAAGAGCATTGATTAAGATCGAACCTGTCAAAGTCAATAGGATGTCAGAATGCACAACACTCGTTTTAAGAAAAGTTAATGACATGCTTGGCATGACATATGTCGTGCTGTGTTCTTTCAATTTAAAATTCCTGTGGGGAATAATGTCCAAGAGTGTTCTAAGTTAACAGTGATGACTATGAGTGATTAACTTAGGACTGTTGTACGATGGACATTGATTATTAGAGAAATTTTGTGAAATGTTTTTAGTCGTAACCATGTATTAATCATTGAAGCTGAAGCTTTGTGGAGTGAGCCACTTCATTCTACGAAATTACGGAAAATAATGAGAACTTGACTCAATTTTAATCGGATGTTTCTGTCCGCAGATTATATGTCTCTTCACAAGTGAATGCTGTTAAGTCTGGTGGTTACGTTATGCTGATGGTGGTGAGGGAACTCAGTGGGTTTATGAGATTACATGCTTCACGAAAACTATGTTCTCACGAAGCTTCCCATGGAGAGTGTGTTTCCTCTTTCACTTGTGGTGATAAATGGGTCGGCGCAATTGTAAGTATGATTTGTGCGAAGAGGTGGTGGATTGTGACGCATTCTTGCATCAAAATGCAGATCGGAGGCTTTCGTCATTATGGGTTCAATAGTGTGTGGCAACGATGTAGGGGTAGGTCTTTCCAGGTTCAGATGTGGAGGGTATGAAATGGTAAGCAGGTGGCAGTTAGAAAACGCATATTGAGGCTGTGGACTACGCATGGCGCTCCCCTAATGTGAATGGCGTGGAGCAATGAATGTGGATAAGTCTCCGATGCAACCGATCTCCTCGTGGTGCAGACGGTGAGATTGAGTGGTTGTGGGGTTTATCTTTTTGGTGACCTTCTTCATCGTGTGTGAGTAGTTTTAACGCTTGAACCCTGCTTGTGTATTTCGTAAACGGGTGTGTTGCATAAAACCTAACTACCTTCACCGTGGATGGATCGTTAGTTCTTACAGCTTATAATCTTTCTATCCATCGTTAAAATGAGGCTCAATTTCAATCGATGTGCCTGGGCGTTGCTGCAATCACGGCCGATTTGTTTCTCAATTCAAGCATGTGAAACGTTCTTCTAACGAGTCCATAAACAAGTAGGATGATAGCATTTTGCGGGGCATCTAATTCAGTTGAATCACGATATGTTGAGTTTTCAATTATAGTGATGATATTTCCTGTGGTTGTGAGTGGAGGGGTTTGTGCCACATTACCAGTACTCTCCTCAATAGCAACAGTGTGGTTCTATGTGCTTTAAATTCAACAATGGTGGCTTCTCTGTCATTTAACATTGTGTTAAACTACTGCATGCCGGTGTTCGCATCAGCCGGACCATTTGTAAGAACAGTGGGGCAAATATGAATTGAAAGGCAATCGTTGGAAGGGTATAGGTATTTTGTGTTGCAGGAAAATGAAGCTGCCAAATGCTCACTCCTGTTGCAGCTCCCAGTGTTACGTAGTTAAGATGCATCATTACTGCCCTTTTGTAGACGATCGTATCTCTACTTCTGCGTTTTTCAACTACAATTTTCTTTGCTCCCTTGTCTTTCTTGCCTCTCTTTCCAGAGCTATTTTGTCACTTTTAATGAAGTGAGTTATATGAATGCAAGTATTTTTTTAAAAATAGTTTTTATAATTTATGATTGTTACATTCCTTGGTATTTCAATCGTGAGTGCATTGTACGTGATGGGATTCTCGCTGTGCGTAAGTGTCAAAATGAGGCCAAAGTCGAGGTATCATCACACCAATTCACATCGACTGTCTGTGCAATTTACCTTGTCCATTACTAATCCACTGTTGACTTGAATGCTGATTAATCGTGGATCAGCAGCTTTAACACGTGCATAAGAGTTGCTCAATTCGTTCGTAGTAGATATGGCATTGGTGATTGGACTGAGTCTTTCATTTCATCAACAGTTGCAGCTTTTGAACAGTGGTTCAACTTTTACACTTACCGAGTTGATGCGGTGGGGATCATGAGCAGGGTAAGAACCGATCTAACACGACTAGCAAGTTTGGCAACTGGCACCCATTCCTTTGGCTTCTTCCAAGCATCAGATCAAAATCATACACCATACTCTTATTTGTTTGCTTTTGGTTTTCAGTCCAAAATTCCGAGTACCTAGCTCTGTTAAAGCCAATCCGCATGCGTTCATTTGCATCGAAAAGGAAGGGGAGCTACAGTGCTGTTGGAGCTTGGATACGAACTGTGTTTGTGCCACCGTAGGGACTATTTTGCACAGGATATTAGCAGAGTAAGGCTTCTGATTAAAAAATGGCTATACATGTTTTGTGAGAGTCAACAGTTTCTTAAGATTTATCCACGTAGTTGTATCGCTAATTTTGGCAATCACCTGGTGATAACTAAAGCTGGAACGATTGCACGCCAGCGCTAACTGCAGTTGTGATCGTTGCGGAGCTTACGGTTGTTATTAACAATGTTTTGACAAGCCATCTTCCGGCTTAGTTATCTACCCTAAACCCCCTCGGTAGCTAACGAGTTAGACTGCCTATCCAGAAGTGTAAGATGTCTTTTCTGGAGTTTGAAATAGCCCAAATTTTCAGTGCATCAACAATTCGGTTGCTGGCCGTAAAAGTTCAAATTTCTGTGTGAGGACTAAAGCATAATGTCGAGATCAATCTTATTGATTCAAAGCAGTTTCATGCTTCAGAAATCAGAGAACACTCCACCAAGGAATGGCTTCAATGGTCCACATCCAAGCCAAGTCCATCACAGAAGGGTCATCAGCGACAGTCTCCAAGAAATAATGCATATATTTGATTGGAATGTCACATTTGAATCACATGTCCACCCACAACAACCAGCTGATGCACCAGCAAATGCTTTCATCCTGAGACCAGAAACAAGGGAGAAAAAGTGGAATCTGATTCAGTGGTTGATGTTTGGCTCCTGGTACCGATCATGGTTATGTGACAATCAAATTTGATCCTCAGTATTGTAGGGTACTACATCAAGGCTGCAGGCTTGTCCAATATTGCTTTCTGTCTTTGCTTATTTTTTTTTAAAAAAACCCAAAAAGGTTGCTAGGTGTTGAGAGGGAGTTGATGAGATGGGTTTTTCACTTTCATTCAGAGGACAGGTTATTGCCGCAACCTTTTCGCAGCAAAGAAGTTTTTGAACTCACACCAAACCGCATGACCTAATTGATGAGGTTTCTATTTTCGCCCTTTCACATCATTAACAGTAAGGTCTGTGCCTGCCTGCTTGTTGTAGCTTCAAGTAACCCACCTCCGCTGAGTTACCATTCCCCTCACCGGCATATAAATCATGAACGACAAAGGCTATGATGGTGCTGCAGCTACCTTATGAGCTTCAAGCCTGTTTCCAGTACCAGAATTGACTTACATTCATGAGTACCCGCACAACCCTCATCAAACGCCTCTCACTTTTAACCAGACCATGTTTAGCTGAGTTAAAGTTGTGGTTGGATTATGCGCTCTCATCTCCCTCCCCACAAGCTGAGAAAGAGACAACACTGCAAACTCGTTGCACATCAAATGTGCACAAGCGCAGACAGAGACGGATCGCTCATTGATTATTATCAAACACCCATTTGCAACATCACTCAGACTTCCACCATAAAAGCCCTTCCCAGTTCACGATATGCTGGCTGTAGTTGGCATCGCTATCCCGGTCACACAGTAAAGTAAAGTACCCTGCAACGCCGCACAGCATCCATCAACAAAACCCTTGTCACCAAAGCATTTCCAGCTCCCTCCTTATTGTGCTCTGCAGCATTTGTTTCCTTTGAATCAAGCGCAACACAGGCTTCCAACACAGAGACCTCCAACGATCTCAACTGGGAACAGTACTCTTTTCCAGCATCTAATACCCAGTTGCATATTATCCATATATACATATATTCATTCATTTATTCATTCTCTTCCTATCGGTTTCACAGCCTTGTCACCCTTCATTTGAAAGAGAGTATCAGCTCCCAACCAGTTGTTACAACGCTGCAGTTTCCCAACATCCTTTTGAAGACAGTTTCCTCCTGTCTCATCCCTTCTCCGAGATTTTCTCATTTTCCATTAAAATAAACTCTTCAACCAAGTAACAAACAAACATTCAAACATGCAAACAAACAAACATTCAAACATGCAAACAAACAAACATTCAAACATGCAAACAAACAAACATTCAAACATGCAAACAAACAAACAAACAAACCAAGCCTCAAGCAAGCATAGGGCTGACACAAAGCAGAGTCATAGCCAGTGTGAGACTGGGTCTCACACTACCATAGCCTTCTAATCAAGCCAAGCCAAGCCAAGTCTAGTCATGGCAACAACTGGGACTGTTCATTGTGAGCCCATGTCATTGGGCAGCCATGAATTGGTGGAATTATTCATGTGTGAGAAATGTGGGTGTGATCAATTTGTCTGGTTTAGAATGCAGCCAGTCTTTTGACTCTTAATTAAAATTTTCATTTATATATATATATATATATATATATATATTTCTTGAGAATTGTATTCAGCAAAGTGCAGAGAATTGTGTGGGAAATTATGTTGATGGTTCCCAAAAAAGGGGCTCTGTGGGTGCCAACACAGAGTCCCATGATGGTGTGTCTTATCAGTATTGGAAGCCTTAATTTATTTGTGGATGTTGGACTTGTGGGTGCTGAAAATGCACCCATTCTTGGGTATCAGATGAGTCCATTGTTTAAGATTCTTTTGAGGCCAAGTTGGGGTGTTTTGGTGTATGTGGGTGTTGTTGGTATGAGAGAGTGTCCAGGATAACATACTTCCATGGACTTGAATGGTTTTCATCAACAGTGAGAAAGAGAGAGGGGATATAAATAATAATTTGTGGATAAAATAAATGGGGTGTGTGACAATGAGGTAAGAAAAGTAGTACACCTAAAATAAGCATGTAATGACTTTCCAATGATAGGAAGACCATTGCATTATCAACTTTTCGTTATAATGTTCCCTCACTTTGACTTGTAACAACAACAACAACAATTTCAAGACTATTATTATGATTATGATTAATATTATTATTGAAAACAATGATGAGAATCAAATACAAGTGGAGATAACCTTTTACAATAGAACCTAAAAGGATATTCAAAGTAATGTTGATACGCTTTCAAGACTCCTCTTTTATGACTTAAAAGCAAAAAAGGGCATTACCTTTAAAAAGAACCATCTTCATTTGTATGGGCTAGTCTACACTCTCCAACATTTGAGTAGCTTCCATATTGAAATATTGAAGCATCTTGGGAAAGGATTTTAACTAAGTTGAGCTTCACATATTGCACCATATTCTCCAGTTACACACACACACACTCTCTCTCTCTCTCTCTCTCTCTCTCTCACTCACTCACTAACCCTCATATTCGCAAGGACAATGGATAGAGAGAGGCACCTTTTAGGGCACCCATTGATTGGCAGGTAGGTCGGTAGGTCGGTAGGTAGGTAGGAAAGGCAGGTAGGATAGGCACATAATAAGGAAGGATTGTGGCCTCTAATTCTTATGGGATTTGCCAATTAATTTTATATCTTTCTTTTTCTTATTTCATTGTTGAAAAGAAAAGGAAAAAGAAGTAGAAAGGTTCTCATGAAAAAGTATATAAAAAAGGAAAAGAAATTAAGTTTGGAAAAAAGAAAGGATCCTTTTGAGTTTTGGAAGTTCAATAAAGTAAATGTTCACACTCCTCTACAGCTTAGATGGCCCCATTTGTGTTTCCTTCTTTTTGTCCACTCTCCAATGATGTCCACCATTTGATTTATTTGTTTCTTTTTCTTAATATGGTGTTGGAATCCATAAAATTCCTTGAGAAAATTTCACCTACAAACATAAGAATTAGTGGATTGTTCAAATTTCTTGTTCAAATACACAACTCCACCAAAAATCATCTACTTCAAATCTAAATTTTAGTTTTAGTTAGTTAGTTAGTGTGTGTGTGTGTGTGTGTGTGTGTTTTCTTTTTCTTTTTTCTGTTTTACATTTACAAGAATATTATATTTTCTATTTTACATTTGATATTTGATATTTGATATTTAAAATACTTGTATGATTTATGGTTATTATAACTTAATAATGCGTGAGATTAAAAAAATGTACTATAAACTAACTATTTATAGTGATCAACCATTTTTATAATAAATAATTTCAAACGATATTAGTTAGAATAGAAAATCACGTGATATCTCACAATAGAAAATTTAGTTAAATGGTACAACAATATTTTCAATTTTTTTATAAATAATTATAAATAATTATTTTATAATAACTAAAATTATAAAATATCCACTTAGATTAAATCAGAATTAATAAGTGATAGATTTGCATCTTTGTCTTTAAAACAAAAAAGAGTTACTTAAATGAGAAATAGATTCTTCATTAATCTTTTGATTATATTCTTTTGAGTCTTTTGTTTGCATCATCCATTGCAAAAACTGATCTGTTAACTATGTAAAAAGTGAAAAAGTAGACATGTGTATGCTCATGTAAAAATTACAAAAGATTTATTTATTTATTTATTTATTTCCCTTTGGTTTTTAAATCAAACTTTACTCCTGGAAACAAATCCGTTTATTTCCAATAATATTTAGAGATTTCCCCAATCAATTCATGCGTGTTTTCTCTATTTATTAATAATGTAAAAAAACTAGTTTTTCTTTCTCACTTATTTGAGCAATCTAAAAACCACTGATGATATTTTTCCTGTTTCTTTTTCTTTTTCTTTCGCAGTCATTTTCAACTCTGTAGTTTCATGTACATATCATGTGTGTATATGTATATATATATATATATATATATAATTTCAATTCTTTAAGCTATTAGCTGACACAAAAATGTGATAAAGTAGTGTATTATTGGAAATTAATTTAGGTAATTATGAAACTCATAGTAATCTTTTGGAATCTTTTTTCTCTAGTGGAAGCATATTGTAGGAACTCATGTCTCATTTAAGATGGATTCTATTTTAGTTTAAACTTTACACAAAATAAATAAATCCCACCAAAATGGAACAGATAGAAAATTAATTTTTCGTTTGTAAAGTGAGGTTTGAACTTTATTATTACAAGCCTTAACATCCATTTTTATTATCCCCACACATGTGATTATTCTTGCATTCACTTTTGATAAAAATAGAATAACTTTCATTGCCTAGTATATCAAAAATGGAAATAGATGATTTAGACAAAAAAGAACATGGTTTTCATGAGTAGGATTAATCAAAATTTATAATCACAGAAAAATATTAAACTTAAAGTAGATAAATATTGTGACATTCCTAATATTTGAATGAACTTACATATTTGGACTCAACTTCTAACAAATCTCAAATTTGGTATAATTAACAATGCATAATCTTACCAAAATTTTAAAAATATGAATAATTTTAGGAATGTAGAATTTATTAAATATAAAACCTATAATCAACTACTTACCCAAGTTCTATTCGATTAAAAAGACAGGTTGTGTTTCTTGACGTACATTTTCCCAAAGTATATTTATCCCCAACCTCTTCCATATTCATCCCTGTGCATGAAAAATCACTTAAAATCGGTGCACTCAATTCAATGTAAAAGTAGTAAAATTAGGGTAAATAATAGCTTACATTTTGGAATGATAGAGACCGTTTGAATGCTCTTGAGCTCCAATTTCTTCTCACTAAGGGTGTTATTCATGTTCAACTTCAATGTTTGACAATGTCAAACATTCTTTCAAATTTGACCTCGATGCTGAAACCTTATGGGCACTTCATCTCAGGAGTAGACATTGATTTGAAATTTATAAAGGTATGACACAAAATCTGAATCCAATTTTTTAATAATTATATGTTTAAATATATTTTATAATTTATTTATTTATTTTCTTATATGTTTCTAAATAATACACCAATGACTAAGTCCAACATACTCCCAAGGTCAAGGAAAGGTACCATTTATTTTGCAAGTCAAACATCAAATTTGGAGCCATGTATATATATATATATATATATATTCTTTTAAGAATTTAAAATTTATTTTTGAAGGCTTCAACTTTGGTTGAGCTCAACTTTTAATGTAAAGTAGTCCTAATTCTATGAAAATTTTGGTATAAAGAAGGAATAATATGATTGGATTTTGCACCTCAAAAAAGAATGTAAATAAGAAAAAATCAAGTAATAAGAATAAGGATAAGAAGGGATAATAAAAAAGCATATGTGTCCAAGAACCATCTTGTCTTGAGTAGGATGTCTGAGTGACTCTGACAACCACTTCGCATTTTCTTCTCTCAAAAAACAAAACAAATGATCCTGTTTTCACAGGCTCAATGTTCTTGGTCATCCAGATCTGAAATCACCCAAATCATTATTTATTTTTTCTTTTCTTTTCTTTTTGGGAAAACAACACAAATAACAAAATCTACACAAAAACAATATGGAAAAGAAACGATGTGTAAACGATAAACCAAAATCCACGAATCGGTCAACATGGACCTTGCAACGACTACACAATCAGAAGTGCAATCTGATACTAAACCCACATGCACCCTCTACTCCCACTTCCACTCAACTCAACTCATCAATCAGCTCATCAAACTGAAACCAACATTACAATCGCAAACAAAAAAAAACAAAACAAAAGTCAAAACACATCAACTGGGAAGAAGAATCACTCAACTGGCTGCACAGCCTCACTCCAGTTCATGTAACCAAGACCCAGTGAGAACAAACACGGTGTGGAAATGAGGAAGACGGTGATGGCGATCATGAAGCAAGCCAGGCTGATGAGACTCCATGAGAGTGAGTGTGAGCGACTGTGTGGGACTAATCAGACAATTGCAACGTACGAGGTACACCATGTACACGAGCGTACTGCGCCAAGCTGTGGAGCCAGGCTGATTGATGTGGATGAGAGACCAACCTTGAAAGTTACAGCGACTGGGCAGAGACTCGGAGCGATGGAGATGGAGATCGTGATCGAGATCAAGGCATGCTCTGCTCTCGTAGCACTGCAGCAGCAGCAGCAACAACGATGGAGGTGGTGAGAAGTCTGCTGATTGATACCTGCTTGGGTACAGACCCACCTGCTGTAGCAGCAGCGGCGGCTGGAAATATTTGGTTGCGAAGGGGCTGACGCCATGATCTCAAAGGGGGTTTCTAACGGCTACTTCTTCACACGAAGGAGTGGACGGGGTGGGACTTGACAAGCGGGAGAACTGGGTGATGGTCCAGGCTGGTGGAAGAGCCCTCACAACATTGGTGTGATGCATCTGCAGCGTTTGTCAACGTTTCGTCCCGATGGACCGTGCCTGATCGCCGCCGTCGATTGTTTGGTGCCCCCCTCGCATCGCCCGTTGTGTGAGTCCGCTTCTTCCCCAACCATCGCATGATCTGTTCCGGGTGTTCGATTTTTCTTTACCAGTATGAAAGTTAAATCGATGGGATCGTTAGTTTACGAACAGTTCCTCACATGGGTTACTTTAACTACAGTTTTCAGAAGCATGGAGGAGATGACTTTTGGTAATCAACAAGTGACGACGAAGTTTCTGCCATGTTTATTACCTCATCATACAGATGGCGAACATGATGAACAAATCCATTATTGGCTCCATCTTTTCAGTGACTTATCATTGTCCTCGGAAACGCTTCTCTATCATTGCGAGTGGGTTCGATCAAGCTAATCAACGCACGCTCCATCATTTCCCCCACTGCTTGCTGATCACTCTAATCCTCCACTGAAACGACGACAATTAGGCTGAATACACACAGTGCTGCGAGGCTCTCACTGTTTCAACACCGAACCCAGTTCGTCAAACAAGAGGACTTGGGGTAGATTCCACCAGAGAACCCATGGCATTCGCATTCAAGTGAATGCAGGACTAGACAAGCCGAGCTCCATCACGTCATCGGCTTGCGCATCGGGTAAACTCAGGGGGGTGTAGAAACCAGAAATCATTTGTTCGTTGGGAGGAGCATCGATCGAGGGGGACACAGTCCTCCCTTCTTCTTCTTTTTTTTTTTTTTTTTTTTTCCTTGGAGTGGAAAGTCGTGAAGACTCGGGGGGTCCAAGTGAAGTCAACCAAGTCCATGATACACAGACCCCTCCTTTTCCCCGTTGCTTCCTACGACGACGAGCACGCCGATGCGGCACGGCTCACAACAAATGGAAACATGTCGCCGGCTCCGTCGTCGTCGTCGTCGTATTGTGGGACTTCCTCGCACGCGGCACGCAACGTTAGTTCTGTCTGTCTCGGGGAAGAGGGCGGGTCTTGAATAAGAGCTTGCGTAGAAACTAATTTCTATACTTTATAATCTATTTAAAACTAATGTAACATGGGGATTTTTCTTTTTTCTTTTTTCTTTTTTTCCCCTCATTTTACCACCAAATTGTTGCAAGAATAACGGATTACCAAATCTACACATACCATGTGCAAATAAAATTGGTTGTCCATTAGAATTTTAATTTTCTTGACTATTGACTATCGTTAATGTAGAATTCTAACCATCCAAATCCATCCATTGTCATGTTAGAGATTTCTAACGAGAAACCTTTCATGTCTAGGTGCTAAAATTGTATTAATATATCTTTGATCAAGACATGTTCCAAGAATCATGTTTAGGAATACCACAACTCCATTATTGACTATCCACTGTGTTTCCAAAACTTGAGTTAGCAATTTTGACTTTGTTTCAATATCATTCTCATAATGTAGAAACATCTAATATTGACCTTATTAAATTCTAATGTGTATACATATATATATATATATATATATATATTCAGAAAAAGATGTTCTAGAAGCTCATACGTATATATAAGCCAATGATAATGATGTCTCAAAAATAGCTCTCTCAGTGGCTTACAAATGCATAAAAGTCATTGCCAATAAAGATATATCATTAAACATTGTACTTCTCCAAAACTACTTTTTATTGTGTTTGTTAAAATATTTACTACACTATCATCTCCTCAAATACACATAGAGTTTGTTTTTTTGTCTCTTAAAAAAAATTATATTGTCTTAAGATGTTTTAGTTTATTTCTGATTCATTTTTATTTTAATGGTTTTCACTAATACAAGTAATTTTTTTTGTATGTATCTTGTTTAATTAATGAAGCGATTTTTTTTATTACAATTAATGAGTATTGAAAATAAAAGCATATTAATCAAAATTTTGATTCTGTGAATGTAAAGCAATCTTGAAGGCTTTTATTTCTTCTCCTTACAATAACTATAAATTTTAGTAATTCATAAAATTTTCACCAATAATTTTAATAATATTTTTTATAATCATCTATAGAATTTAAGAATTTTAAATATTTCTTTTATATTTTTTATATATATTTATATATATATATATATACACACATTCTACAAGTAATATGTGTTATATGCAAGACAATATAGATAATTAAATACGTAATTAAAAAATACTCAAAATTTTATTGATTTCTTTGAATTAGTAAATAGAAGATTTTAAGGAAGGAAGACTGTTAGTATTGTATGAAACATCAGTTCTTGTTTTTATTTTTAGATTCAATATACATTACTTCCAATTTTATTTTTAAGAATTTTAACCAAAATTTAGTTTCTCTTGTTAAATGTTTTTCAAACAAGTCACTTGTATGCAACATTAATTAAAAATAATATCTGTATAGACCATTGTATTTTTGAAGAACATACTGATACCACATTTTGGGAAGGATAATAAACATCCCCTCCGTGATGATTTTATTTGTCTCTTATGCAAATTTGGATGGATTTGTTATCATGATCCTAACTTGATATGTACACACTATTAACCACTTTTATGATTTGGTATGTGTAACATTGAATAATTTTAAGCAAGATTTGGACATGCATTAGAAAGTTTTCTGATAGAATGTCTTGTGGATATTTTTCTAATGCATGTCCAAATCACAACTTGCATATTGAAGTATGTTATGTCATAACCAGACTATTCACAACAACTTGCATATTGTTATCAATTAAATGGGTTGTATGTTAAAACTAAATATTTATAATGAAGGGCATTATTATTTTATCCTTGGCTACTTATAAAATAAGTAGTTAATTTATATTTTAAATAAACTAATATTTTTTTCATATGCACAATACTTAATAAGATTCTAATTGAAAATAAATAAATAAATACATAAATAAATAAATACATAAATAAATAAATTGCTATGACTTGCATATATAGTTATGTGGTTGAAAACTTTCTCAAACAAATAGATAATTTATATTCACATGAATTTTTAGATCAAGTACAACATGATTTCAAAAGATAAAATTTAAACAATTCCATTAGATTCATACTTGTCTTTGATTTTAAAAAAGCTTGTAGTAAAAGAATAAATTATCCCTTTTCATCCAAAAATATGTTTTAGATATATATACAAACACACACTCTCACATACACAATTGTGTATTGAAACAAAGCAGTAATTTCACTGAAGTAAGATTTACTCATTGATATGAATGAAGCCTTGTTATGATGAACATTGAAATTGTACACACATACACACAAGTACAGAATTGGGTGGAAGTAGAAGTAGAAGTAGTAGAAATACAACAATCCCATCTGACCACAACAAATGATTGGCAAGAGGGACCTCAAATTCCAAAAGTGCAGGTGCACAAATCTCACAATTGGGGGAGAATGAGGAAGAAAGAGCATTTTTATGTACCTTTCCAGAAATCCCCACCCACCATAACACAATAACATAAGAAAGTATGGAAAAAGAAGAAATAAAAAAGACAGAACAATCCAAGCCCATTTGTAAATTGAGTGTGAAGAGAAAAAAGTGGTTGGCAAATGGTTGCACCAGCAAAGACATGAGAGAGAGAGAGAGAGAGAGAGAGAATGCTTGGGGTGTTTGTTGTGAGGGTGGCAATTAATTGGGAAAAGGAGTGGCAATTAATTGGGGTGTGAAAAAAGGATCACTTGGAGTGGGTTGGGAAGTGTGCCAATGAGGGGGCAAAGGCCAAAAAAGCCCCACTTCCATTGGTGGAATGGGGCGTTGGCCAGGGGGAATATGGCCATCCATCCCCGTCTTTTTCTCTGTTATTGTGTGTGCATGTCCCCTTCCTTGGAACACTCCCCTTCTTATCTCTTTGCCATGAGCTCTTCTATTTTGGCTGGGATCAGTCTCATTGGAGCTACATCTCCCATGTAGGCATTAATCCCACACAACCTATACATTCATCCACATCCATCCATATGAACCTTTTTTTCTCTTGCTCAGGCAGCAAGAAAACCAGCAGTGGGTGGGTGTTCGTTGTTCAACAACTTTGTTCTGTTATGTTTGGTTTTGTTTTGTTTTTGTATTGCTCCATCAGGCTTTGGCCCATACATACCATGTTCCCCTTTGTAAATACTGCTGTGGAAGGGAGGGAGGGAGGGAGGGAGGGCCAGAAAGAAAGAAAGCAAGAAAGAAAGAAATAGACAGTCTACCCTAATTCATCCTACATACCATTCGCCCAACTTTCATCCATCCGTCCAGCAGCAGTGGAGGTGGAGGGGTCAGCCTCAGCAGCTTGCAGATAGATGTCAGGATCCCATCATCATCATCTTCCCTAATTTATTTATTTATTCTGTTTCCCTGCTTCTTCTTCTGCTCTCTCTCTCTCTTTTCTCTTTGGTTACATCATCCCATACTCTCTATCATCGCACTTCCTTTGCTAAGGAGGAAAAAAAGACAGCAAGACAAGAGAAAAAAAAAACAGCACACTTTATTGAAGAAGAAGAAGAATTAGAAACTATAACATCAATACCTTTTTGCCACTTTGGGTGTCTTTTGTGGACAACTCATGCCTTCCTCCTTTCTGTTCCCACACTTCTTACAGTACAATTTATGTAAATAAAAGAAGGAAGTTGAATATATATATATATATATATATATATGCACACATACTCTCTCCCTCACACACACACAGAGATATATATATATATATATGTATGTATGTATGTATATAGACATGTGTACATGTATGTATGAAGTTATTTGATTCAAGTGATTAAACTATATATTTTTGTTTTTTTCCTGAAGCACTGCCACAGAAGAGGACAGTTCGTTTGACTGGATGCCCTCCACATGAACCCACTGCACAAACACACTGCAACTCAGACTCACCCCCACCACATCCATCCATCCGTATTTCATCCATTGATTCAGCAACAACCCATTTGATGGATGGATGAAAATACCCATCTCCCTGTCTAGATAGATCAGAGAGGGGGAGGGGGGTGTTTTTTTGATAAAGTGATTGATGTGGAGTTAATTAATACTGGCTGGGGAATGAAAACTGAAAGAATAGAGCCAGGCAGGCAGAGTCATGTCACCTGTGTGTGCATTAGGGAGAGATGCTTCTTCTTCTGTTCTGTTGTTTTATTACATTGTATTATTTTGTATGGAGAGTGATGAACTTTGAATTTTATTTTATTTTATGAACAGGTCATGTGCTCACTTACTTCACTGCTTTGCCTTTGCCCTTGTCTGGTCTGTGCTGTACTGTTTTAATAGGATGTGTGGGTGGGATTGATGGACTTGGTTGTTATTGCTGGCAGATGCCATTGATCTCCCTCCCTCCCTCCCTCCCTCCCTCCCTCATTACAGTGCACTGTTGGATGGATCTGAAGTTGAAGCAAACACAACCCCCTTTTGTTTTTGGTTTTTGGTTTTTTACTTTTTTGCTGTTACTTTTACTTTTTAAAAAACATGTCAGAAGAAATTGTGTTGCCTGAATTTAATGAGGTTTGGGAAGGGAACTCTTTAAGTCATTAAATTTCCCCCCCTCCACTTTCTCATCCTGGTAGGGTTTCATCTATTTTTCATCCATTATGCCTTTCATTCGTCCTGAATATATCTTGATTCCCTAATCAGTTGCGATCTTGCGTTTGACAGAGCTCTAATGTTATTACTATTATTACTATTATTACAAATATTTTCTTTTACATCTTTTACTTTGGTTTCCTCTTCATTTAATTTTGATATTATTTCTTGTGCATATTTTATTCTAGTGTTATACATTTTGATCATGGGTCTCTGTGAAGCATGACTCTCACACCTTCCCTCGCCTGAGTCAGAAATGGCAGACCATACATCATCAGCATCTCAGGACTTGGAAAATACAAAAATAATAATAATTATTATTATTATTATACAAAATTGACGAAAATCGTTTGGATGGAAAGAAGCTTTCGAGGAAAGAAATAAAAGTTAAAGTAAAAGAATCAAAGGAGGATTGGAGCAATGACTTCAGAACTCTCCTGGAACAAGTCATTCTTTGCAAACCAATCTCTCATTCTAGTGGTGATTTTGGAAGTGGTCTTAACATGATTTA